GTTCCCACCTCCGTTCGCTTTCACTTCGCGCACGGGTTTGACACCCGAACACTCGCGTAGATGTTAGACTCCTTGGTCCGTGTTTCAAGACGGGTCGCTTACGACCATTATGCCAGCGTCCGAGCCGAAGCGCGTTCCTCGGTCTAGGCAGGTCGCATTGCACCCTCGGCTATAAGACGCCCCTAGGGGCGTTACCTTCCGAGGGCCTTTGACCGACCGCCCAAACCGACGCTGGCCCGCCCGCGGGGAAATACACCGGCACGAATGCCGGCTGAACCCCGCGAGCGAGTCTGGTCGCAAGCGCTTCCCTTTCAACAATTTCACGTGCTTTTTAACTCTCTTTTCAAAGTGCTTTTCATCTTTCGATCACTCTACTTGTGCGCTATCGGTCTCCGGCCAATATTTAGCTTTAGATGAAATTTACCACCCATTTAGAGCTGCATTCCCAAACAACTCGACTCGTCGAAGGAGCTTCACACGGGCGCGGACACCCCATCCCATACGGGATTCTCACCCTCTATGACGTCCCGTTCCAGGGCACTTAGATGGGGACCGCTCCCGAAGCATCCTCTGCAAATTACAATGCGGACCCCGAAGGAGCCAGCTTTCAAATTTGAGCTCTTGCCGCTTCACTCGCCGTTACTGGGGCAATCCCTGTTGGTTTCTTTTCCTCCGCTTATTGATATGCTTAAGTTCAGCGGGTATCCCTACCTGATCCGAGGTCAACCTGGATAAAAATTTGGGTTGATCGGCAAGCGCCGGCCGGGCCTACAGAGCGGGTGACAAAGCCCCATACGCTCGAGGACCGGACGCGGTGCCGCCGCTGCCTTTCGGGCCCGTCCCCCGGAGATCGGGGGACGGGGCCCAACACACAAGCCGGGCTTGAGGGCAGCAATGACGCTCGGACAGGCATGCCCCCCCGGAATACCAGGGGGCGCAATGTGCGTTCAAAGACTCGATGATTCACTGAATTTGCAATTCACATTACGTATCGCATTTCGCTGCGTTCTTCATCGATGCCGGAACCAAGAGATCCGTTGTTGAAAGTTTTAAATAATTTATATTTTCACTCAGACTTCAATCTTCAGACAGAGTTCGAGGGTGTCTTCGGCGGGCGCGGGCCCGGGGGCGTAAGCCCCCGGCGGCCAGTTAAGGCGGGCCCGCCGAAGCAACAAGGTAAAATAAACACGGGTGGGAGGTTGGACCCAGAGGGCCCTCACTCGGTAATGATCCTTCCGCAGGTTCACCTACGGAAACCTTGTTACGACTTTTACTTCCTCTAAATGACCGAGTTTGACCAAGTTTTCGGCTCTGGGGGGTCGTTGCCAACCCTCCTAAGCCAATCCCAAGGCCTCACTGAGCCATTCAATCGGTAGTAGCGACGGGCGGTGTGTACAAAGGGCAGGGACGTAATCGGCACGAGCTGATGACTCGTGCCTACTAGGCATTCCTCGTTGAAGAGCAATAATTGCAATGCTCTATCCCCAGCACGACAGGGTTTAACAAGATTACCCAAACCTCTCGGTTAAGGTGATGTACTCGCTGGCCCTGTCAGTGTAGCGCGCGTGCGGCCCAGAACATCTAAGGGCATCACAGACCTGTTATTGCCGCGCACTTCCATCGGCTTGAGCCGATAGTCCCCTTAAGAAGCCAGCGGCCCGCAAATGCGGACCGGGCTATTTAAGGGCCGAGGTCTCGTTCGTTATCGCAATTAAGCAGACAAATCACTCCACCAACTAAGAACGGCCATGCACCACCATCCAAAAGATCAAGAAAGAGCTCTCAATCTGTCAATCCTTATTTTGTCTGGACCTGGTGAGTTTCCCCGTGTTGAGTCAAATTAAGCCGCAGGCTCCACGCCTTGTGGTGCCCTTCCGTCAATTTCTTTAAGTTTCAGCCTTGCGACCATACTCCCCCCAGAACCCAAAAACTTTGATTTCTCGTAAGGTGCCGAACGGGTCATTATAGAATCCCGTCCGATCCCTAGTCGGCATAGTTTATGGTTAAGACTACGACGGTATCTGATCGTCTTCGATCCCCTAACTTTCGTTCCCTGATTAATGAAAACATCCTTGGCGAATGCTTTCGCAGTAGTTAGTCTTCAGCAAATCCAAGAATTTCACCTCTGACAGCTGAATACTGACGCCCCCGACTATCCCTATTAATCATTACGGCGGTCCTAGAAACCAACAAAATAGAACCACACGTCCTATTCTATTATTCCATGCTAATGTATTCGAGCAAAGGCCTGCTTTGAACACTCTAATTTTTTCACAGTAAAAGTCCTGGTTCCCCCCACAGCCAGTGAAGGCCATGAGGTTCCCCAGAAGGAAAGGTCCAGCCGGACCAGTACTCGCGGTGAGGCGGACCGGCCAGCCAGACCCAAGGTTCAACTACGAGCTTTTTAACTGCAACAACTTTAATATACGCTATTGGAGCTGGAATTACCGCGGCTGCTGGCACCAGACTTGCCCTCCAATTGTTCCTCGTTAAGGGATTT